GAAGCTGACCTGATAAGTTATAGAATATAATTTTTGTCTCCGGCAAAATTGTTCCCGTAGATTATCGGTTAAATAGCTTAGCGTATAACAATCTTCTCTAAGGAGATAGGGGCGGGGATTCTTAATCACTCCAAGTGATAGATCTTTATTTTTCATTCTTGTGCTGTCTACACAATGTCGTAGACTGACAATCTGAATGAAGCTGTCATGAAAAGTGACTAGCTATGAAAATGTAAATAAACCTTTTTTATGCTCCTTGCCCCTTGATATCGATGATCATGACTCTCCACATCTTTCTATCCTTCTACGCAATGTTAATCCCTTTACTATCCCTCCCGTTCTGTATCCTGACATCCATTCACATAAACTCGTTAAGTATGTAACTCGTTGTTTCCTTCTCTCCCTCTTGCCTTCAGTATGATTCTGTAGCGATACTCGATAAAGTTCAAAGACGTATAGTAAATACCAAGACTCTCAAGCTTTACTCACTCAAAGACATTTTTAACCATTGATCTTAGAAATCGGTTTTATACAGCTTATTGTTTAGCTCTTTTTGAACAGATTTGGTATCATGCATGGCATCTTAGATGAAAGTCTCGATCTGATACGGCTATTTAAGAACATGACTCGTGTTTTCAGGTTGATGTTTTAGTTGCGTAGCAATTCCCGGTGTTGGGCGAAACTACCTCTAATACAGACTATTCTATGTTCAATTTATCTTTCTCCTATGCTTAATTTGTTATGGATGATTCATACGTAGAGATATCTGAAGTGTACTAGAATACTATGGACGGAGCATGTAAGCTTATACTCGCTCAAAGACTTTTTGTCGCCATTGTTCTTAGAAAACGGTCGCATACAGCTGACTGTTTAACTATTTCTAAACAGAGTTGGTCATCCAGAACGTCATCCATATGAAAGCCTCGATCTGATGGGGCTATATAAGAACATGACTCGAGATTCCCGGTTAATGTTTTGGTTATGTAGCAATTTGTCGTGTTGCGCGGACCATTCTTCGTTCAATTTCCTTTTCTCCGATACTTAATTTGTTATAACTTTTCCATACACTGAAGTATTTGACGTGTTTACTAATTCCACACCCTTGCTTTTCATGGTGGGTTCAGGTGCTATCACTGCTTTTATTCCGTTTCCAGATCATAGAGTCATTTTTAGAAAAGTATGCGAGTTTTTAAATAAGTGAATAAATCGTCAGTGCACTGAAGATAAACTTCAGTTGAAGATATGACAGATAAGAAATACATGGTGTATTATATCGTGAGATCATCAATCATTAACGTGCGGAAAAATAAAATACCGTGACCTGCCTCGACAACATCAAGAATGTTATCCCCATAATTGTTAGAGCATCAGAAAAAAATCCAAAAAAGCTAAAAAGAAACTAAATTCAAGAACCAAACCTGTTACTTAGTAATTTCAATTTTTATCTTCAAAATAAAAATTATTCCAAGAAATAAAATAACAGATAATTCGATTTCGGTCGAACAGAGACATGCGAATTGATTATTTACCAAGTTTAGTAATTGACATAAAATTTTGTTTCTAGATCTCTACACTAGAAGTATCCAATACAAAGAGAATATAAATGCGAACTTAGAAATATAGTCAAAAGATAACATAGTACAGAGAATGAAAAATTGATTAATTTTCGTTATTGCAAACCTCTTATACATATTGACAAGTTAGGGCACCTCAAAGCGGTGTAATGGTTTGCAAGCTTGTCTCGCTAGAACAATTACGACTTAGTGAGTTTTATCCTCACTGGGTGCCCCCTACTTTCGGCCTTGTGCCATATCTAAGCTGTGCTTGGAAAATCACTACATATTGACAAGTTGTTTAATGTAAACAAACAAGGGAAAGTATCTTGAGTTGACAGTTTGATTTGGTTGCTTTTGTTTGGCAGCATATCAACACCTTTAGGGGTTATTTAATGCTCAAATCTAAATATTTTGTACGTAATTTTTTATATAGTTTTTTTTTTAGATAATAATGGTTTTAATGATAGCTAGTGGGAAGAAGTGAATACATACCTTTCCCAGGGGTATTTGCGAGTAAGTGAATATAACAAACCCAATTGGAATTGGAACTCGGCTCTTCGATTCAGAATTCCGAGCCATTATCCGTTGAATATGAAACATATTTTCTGATTCGCCTGGTTAGTCAGGAGAGGCAACTTTTTATTTGTGAATATTTTTTTAACTTTTTATTTTGCATTGAATATGAAGTAGTTAGGTCATTGGAGAAGCTTGAAAATATTTAAAAAAATATTTCTCCTCTTCATGAAAATATTGAAGGCTGCAAATTCTGAGTTCTCTTAAGTAAAATCTGATGATTATTCCAGATTGTACTTTGCTGCTAATACAACATTGTTGTATATACCAAAGCGGTCACCCATCTATGTACTGACCAGACTCGACGTTGCTTAACTTCGGTGATAACTGCGAATGTCAGTGTTTAATTGTGACACACTTTTTCACTCGTGCATCATTAACGATACTGGAAAAATGGTCGGGTCCCTGTACCTCTCCAGTAAGAACTTGACTCTTCCTGCTATTGTCTGCGTTTACAAGAGACAGAACGAAACGAAAAATGGAGTACTGCTGCCATATATGGACAGGTACTGCTCAGTCTTCACTTTTCAGTTTCGATAGAATTCAAAAGCATTGTGGGTGATAAATTATGTTCCACCCTACAACCACTTTCTCACAGGCGAAGCGTCGCAAGCTTCTCGCTGCTCTATCGCTATTTCCATGGAGAATGTTCAAACGAACTACATTGCTTAGTTCTAATCTTCACGTGCTACGCGCATGTAAGTTCCACTCGAGCAGCTTCTTCCCATGAAGCCCTGCTCTGTGGAACCGACTCGAAAGCAGATGCTTTCTCGATCACAACAATCTTAACCTAAATCTAGGTTGAACCGTTATCTTCCCCATATATCATCAAAAACTGAGTCTCTTACTCTGTAACCCTCTATCTTGAGTGGCTCCCAGGCTTTTTACATGGTAAGCGGTTAACAGTTCATATATGAGCCTTCTTCTTTTGGACAAACACACGGAGAGGTGCGCACACGCGATATTCTGGTGATGTCTTCAGGTTGAGAACTATTGCAGTATTACGTGTGAGATGTTATAACAGTTGGAAAACCTGTCACGAGAAACGAATGGCATTGCTTCGTGCTGATTGCTTTCAATAAAAGATGCGTTCAGAATGAAAGATTGATGCAAAATGAATGAGAATATATATTAAGATGTTTGTACCGATTCAGATTGATAGGCTGAAGGGAAATGATAAAGTGAAATATAAAAAGAAAAAGATCAGAGAGTCTAGAGAATTAAATATTTAAATAATAATAACTCCTTGTTTGACACAAGACCGAATTGTGGGTAGTCCAGTGAGGGTCAGATCGATTAACAATGACTTGTGAAAGAAACACTAATTTATCTCGATAGTCTCTGATTACACTAGGGATTGACGTAGATATGAAATGAAGTAGACAAACAGTGATAAAGTAAGTCGGACGAATAGATTGATATGTAATATGAAAAATCACAGACGGATAGATAGATAGATAGATAGATAGATAAGGACTCAGATACAGCTATAGTTATGAAGAGTTTCAGATAGATAGATAAGGACTCAGATACAGCTATAGTTATGAAGAGTTTCAGATAGATAGATAGATAAGGACTCAGATACAGCTATAGTTATGAAGAGTTTCAGATAGATAGATAGATAGATAAGGACTCAGATACAGCTATAGTTATGAAGAGTTTCAGATAGATAGATAGATAAGGACTCAGATACAGCTATAGTTATGGAGAGTTTCAGATAGATAGATAGATAGATAGATAGATAGATAGATATGAAAAGTCTAATCTAAATATGAATAGCATGAGATAGATATGTAAGATACTGGAGATATGAAAAATTACAGACGGATAGATAGATAGATAGATAGATAGATAAGGTCTCAGATACAGCTATAGTTATGAAGAGTTTCAGATAGATAGATAGATAGATAGATAGATAGATATTAAAAGTCTAATCTAAATATGAATAGCATGAGATAGATATGTAAGATACTGGAGATATGAAAAATTACAGACGGATAGATAGATAGATAGATAGATAGATAGATAAGGTCTCAGATACAGCTATAGTTATGCAGAGTTATAGATAGATAGATAGATAGATAGATAGATAGATAGATAGATATGAAAAGTCTAACCTAAATATGAATAGCATGAGATATGTAAAATACTGGAGATATGAAAAATCACAGATAGATAGATAGATAGATAGATAGATATGAATATAATGATATAGATATGAAAGGCCTCAGATACATACATAGCTATGAAGAGTCTCAGATAGATGTGTAAAACTCGTTTACTATGATAAACACGTTAAAAATGAGTGAGACAATCTAAGATTATGCAGAAAACTGAAATCAATTCTGTCAAGTAAAACCATCAAAAAGTAAATAAATAACGTTATCTTGTTCTCCTTTGTTACCAAGAAACTTTGTCACTTTTGACATGGCAAAAGACAAAAGTCTTATTTTATTTCACTTCTTTTTTCTTTTCAAATATCATGTACCTTCAGAATGTAATATGCCGTGGCTATGAACAGATTCTTTTTCTTTACTTCAGTATCTGTAAATTTCTATAACGTTTCGGGAAAGATAATGGACTGGCTTCCATTTCCTTCGCCACATTTTTTAATTCAGAGCTCTCCTTCTCCTAAATTGGTTTGTCTTATCAAGTCTGGGGTGTCTGTACTTTTTTTTTTACTTGCTCTATGCATTAAGTTATCATTTGTGCGTTTACAATGAAACTTTACCGATAAAGAACTTTTAATTATGTCACTGACGATGACTTTTTTTCTCTGTGTGCAATGATGACATTCTTTGGTATAAGAGACTGTGCAAAAACACAAAAGAATGATCGGAGAGTTTGTGATATGAAGAACTGGTTTAGTTGCTGTAAATGAAAATAAAGGTATACCGAGGGTGTCTCACACTGGTATTGGCACATGGCAACTAAGCTTTTATATATATATATATATATATATAAGGCACAAACACTAATATTCCATGGTTATAATTTATTACATTGGAATCGTAATCACGATCAATTCATCAGACCTACAAATTTGTAGGTCTGATGAATTGGGTTATTATATTCTTACTCTGTCCTGGACATTGAGTTCGATCTGGATTCTATCCTCTTGGGAATTATATATATATATATATATATATATATATATATATATATATCGACTCTCCCGTCGAGATTCGACGTATGAGGGTCAAGCAGATCAGTTTCCAGGAAACCAACAGCCCGACACCGGCACATGAGATTTGATTATAGTGGTGAAGGCCTCGTGCAGGACCATCTACACTTTTTGAAGGGACGAATACAGAGACCTGGTGCACCGAATGCCACAAGGTTCCCAAACGACCCTCCGTAGGTTTTGAATTCAGAGTTGTTCTTCTCCTAGACCAGTTGCCAAGGCTATAGAACCCAGTCTGTCCTGCTATTTTACTCATAGCTGGAGGGAGAGGAAGAAGATTCGAAGTATTAGCACGTAAGTGAATGTAATGGATTCGACTGGAATTCGAGCTCTGCTCTGCGATTCCTCAATCCAAGCCGCTATCCATTACTCCACCGTGCCTCCCCTCTCTCTCTCTCTCTCTCTCTCTCTCTATATATATATATATATATATATATATATATATATATATATATATATATATATATATATATATATATTAATATTATCTATATTATACATATATAGAATAAAGATAATATTAATGGTCAATATATATATATATATATATATATATATATATATATATATATATATATATATATATATATATATATATATATATATATATATATATATATATATTCTATATATGTATATATATATATATATATAGATAGATAGATAGATAGATATGCTGAGAGTGACATAGTTATGAACATAGATATATAAACAGATACGCTGAGGGTGACATAGGAATTAACGTAATAGATAGATAGATAGATAGATGTGAAATGTCTAACGTAGGTATGAATAAAATGAGATCGATATAGCGTGTTTTCGATAGTGAATCTCTTGGTTATGAGATTGTTTAAAAACACAAAGGATTTGATTGGAGTTTATAGTATGAAGAATTGGTTTAATTGCTGCACATCAAAATAAAGACATCACTCTTTTATTGACTTTTATAGGAAAACTTAGCTTACCTTAGTATGGTGCAAGGTCGAATAAGGAAAGCCTTAAAATTCAATATTCATAAGCCTGGCTTTTATTTCCTTCCAAAAACTGATAACTAGCATTGGTAGTAGCTATGCACTTACTTCAGACAGCCGATCTACCAACAATAATATTTAGATGGTTACTAAGTATCGCTTCGTACGTCGCAGAAACTAAAAAGCAATTGATTTTGAAAGATTATTTTGCGTCCATTTTCTGATTACTTGCCAATATAATCAGCAATCAAGATTTTGTTTGTTTTTCTTAATTTTATCTGGATTTAAACAACGGCCTCTGCCATCGTCAGAAAATTCTTAATATGATCAGATCCTTATAATTAAAACCATTAAGTGTCCATTAAGTAACCATTAAGTAACTATTAAGTAACCATTAATTAAAACCATTAAATATCCATATGATCCGATCCTTATAATTAAAATCATTAAGTGTCCATTAAGTAACCATTAAGTGACTATTAAGTAACCATTAATTAAAACCATTAAATATCCATATGATCCGATCCTTATAATTAAAATCATTAAATATCCATTAAGTAACCATTAAGTGACTATTAAGTAATCATTAATTAAAACCATTAAATATCTATCATATGATCCGATCCTTATAAGTAAAACCCAGGTTAATTATGAAAAAAAAATAGCAAAAGTAGCAATAATAAAAAACACGAATTGCATTTGACCATATAAACGAATGACATATACACAGTTTATAATTTTGATTGTTTGATTCGTTTTCTACTGCTTATCAACCATTTACATGTTATTTAAAGCCAGAAAATATTTAAACGTAATTTATAAACTTTATAGAATAAGTATAAGAATGCACAATGCAACAACTACAGAACACGTTGTACCTTGCAAGTATAGCTTTTTAAGTATTATATCATGACGAAATACCCAATAATATTTATTAAGCTTAATGATGGAGTTAGGCTTGGAGAATTTGACACTCAGAGGACATATCAAAAACAAAAGGGACAGTAAACATGTGACTGCTCGCCTAATGAGCTTCTGTGAATCGATGTCAGAACGGGCGATGGAAGCTTCAAACGATAAGAAGTTGTGAAGAGCCATGATCACCCACTCCTTGAAAAGACCCGCAACTAGAAAACATAATTGTATACTACCGAATGAAAATGGGATTCACAGCATTTATGAATTAGTTTACGTGACAAAATTGCTAACCACTGTGCTACGGTAGTCGGTTGTAGGAGAAGTAAAATCTCTATCTATAAAAGGCAGGATGTGTGTGTGTGTGTGTGTGTGTGTGTGTGTGTGTGTGTGTGTGATGAATGCACAGCCGCAATTTTCGACGGATTTGTACCAAAATTTACATGAACATGCTCCAAGTTAGCGAAAAGGCCAAGACCGACTTTGCATTTCCCAACTCCCATCGATAGTGGAAATAATCGATTTTTTCATGCTTCTACGATAGTTTTCATGTAAAATCGATAGCTGTATTCGTCACAAGTCGGGAAAATTTAAATCTGCATGGCACTTTACTTCAATTGGCTCATTCGATTGCTTAAACTCAACGTTGATTCTGATTCCGCAGAACTGGGTTGGGTGTGAAAAAGTATTTGTTGTTAACATTCTTTTTTCATTCGGTTTTTCCAGTTACGAGTCCTTTTTTAAAGCTGATCGTTTTGTGTTCATTTTGTTTAATTCTTTTTTTCGTAACAGATTTAATGTTTAGTATAGAGCTTAGAAAAATTTGCAGTGTGAGATAGGCAAGAAGTAAGGCATGTAGCAACATCAGCACGGCAAAGGGAACTCCTTTAAAGGCAAGGAAGGGTAAAAATATTTTAAGTCAATTGATAGCGATTGATGTATGAGTCGTACGATTTTTGAATCAAGCACGGGCAACGCCGGGCCATGCTGCTAGTTATTTATAAATACAGATACCTCCTCCTATCTAAAATAGGAGGCTGGGTCTTGCTAAGGGGAAAAGAGTGAGTATGAAAGGTCGTGCTCATAGTCAATGGAGTATTGTGGATTTATTTCCAAGGACCATTGCAATGGGATAAAAATGCTAGAATGAGGAAATATGGTGTAGATCACATTGCTCCTGAATCACATTGCTCCTGAATCACATTGCAAGAATAATGAAAATAGTGCTGAAGTTTAAGGTGATTTACTGTCGCATTTTTCTCACGAATGTCTACGAATAAATGGCAGTGATAATGTTGGAGTTGACAAAAGTACTGAAGAATGTCCCGGATACTTAAGGAAGCAAGCTGTCAATTGATTTTTCATAGCAAACACAAGAGATAATGTGGAGATTTTTTAATACCAAAATTCATGAATTACAAGACTCGAGAGCCATTTTAAGGTAGAGGGTTACAGTCAACAAAATCGTATTGCTGGATGAGATGTGTGATATGAATGGAAGCTTATGATGATAAGGAGGAAAGATAAGGATTGACCTTCGACTTGAAGAGGCAAAGATTAATGCATTCAGGGAAGTACCCACGCGGGAGTTCGTTCCACATTGTAGCAGTTCTAGAGAAAAATTTGTATGAGTGAAATTTTCTTCTTATATTTAAAGCACGAAAGAAATTAGGATGATTCGGCTCCGTGGAAGTGGCATGACATGTTGTCGTTGTAGAACTGAAGAATGGAGCTTATATTGAACATATGCCATGGGAATGCATTAATAATAATAATAATAATAATAATAGGACCCTGCCCGGGAGCTGAGATCGGTGTGGACTATGAAATTCGAAAAAGCTTTGAGACTGTACAGACTACGACGTTTTTCAGAGTTTCAAGATATGCTACAATGCTGGATATGTAAGACGATTTGCCGTCACCCAGTTTTCAGCGAAAATCAGAAGAAATATGGTGTTAAATAATAACTGTAGTAATAATAGTAGTAACAGCAGACTAAACAACTCGGCTACATTTATCTGAAATAATGCGAAATAATGCGATGTATAGGAAAATTTTCACGCAGACTCGCCAGATATTGCAGCTGTCAAAACTTTTTCTGTTATTTAACATATTGTGACCATTACGGAAATTGCTAAAATTCGGTGACACTGTGAGTGGCGACATTTCAAGAAACCACAAAGCGAGAGCTAAAAGTTGAATGACACCAAGACCTCAACGAATGCTTTCAGAATTCTTGATGTATAAAACGGGCTGTAATTGATGATTCGCGACCTGAAAACGTTGGAATAGAGACGAAAATATCAAGACATTAAAATAACAGAAACTATCATACAAACAGGCTAGGATATAAAGAATGGTCTTGAAAAAAGTTAATGTTACCTGTTCTCTTTTAATGCTTGCCAAATATTCAGTATGAAAAAATATTAATAATTTTTTTCCTAAGTATTTCACTCCAAGCAAGGCAGGAGTGCCACTAGTTTGCAAGGGGTTACAGAGAGTGAAAGTAAGAGAAAAGAGGGGTGTTTGAAGAAAGGATAAACAGAAGGACGGGGATACGATTTATTGTTTGATTGTTGATATATAAAAAAAAGTTTAGTGGAAACGGAGTGAGCAATAACTGAGAAAAAATCAAAATAAGAATTAGACTACGTCAGTCAGTTATGTGACATTCGTGATACATGCTAAGGCGATCATTTATCTTTCGATACATAACTGACGAGGCAGATTTTTCCCCATAGTAGGTTGCTATTTCTTTCTGCGGTAGACCAGTTGCAATCCAAGACTGTAGAACCCAGTCT